AAAATGTTCACTCATATGATGGGGATTAAGTAAGCACATGGCGTGGCTCTCCTTAGTGATACAGTGATACTCCTTAGTGATATGGTCCTTTGCTGGATTCTGTTCCCCTCTAATTGTACAGTGTATTACTTTGTTTCCAAATTATGTAAAATTTTTCTGGAGGAAAAGTGAAAGAACTCCAGATAAATCCATGTTGATTCACAGCACAAGGGAATGCCAAAGGGATTCATAATGTTTACGCAGAGCATTTATTGACAGCGCTCACAAATGTGGACTCTGTTCTGCCTTATTTCATAGTCTGCCTCCCAGGTTAGAATCTTTGAGTAACTGGAAGCAGATTGATAAACGGAGTCTGACAACAGGCTTGCTTCCCAGTAAAGGAAGAGCTCTGGCCCGGGATTATGTGAAATCACAGACATTAAGAGTATATAAAGTTAACTTGGCAAACTCCTAACACTTAGAATGGAAGAGAGAAAAAGCTGCCAACTGAAATGATCTTGTAATTAAGTCTTTTTTTTTTTTTTTTTTGCGGTACGCGGGCCTCTCACTGTTGTGACCTCTCCCGTTGCGGAGCACAGGCTCCGGACGTGCAGGCTCAGTGGCCATGGCTCACGGGCCTAGCCGCTCCGTGGCATGCGGGATCCTCCCGGACCAGGGCATGAACCCGTGTCCCCTGCATCTGCAGGCGGACTCTCAACCACTGCGCCACCACGGAAGCCCTTAACTCTTTTAATGCTATTAATACTGAAAGAACGTTGGGAGGATCTGGGCAACAAGTGTCCATAAGGAGTGGCTGGGGGCTGATGTATGGAGAAAGTGGGTTTGCGTCACTGGTACTCTCTGTCTCGAGCTTCATTACCCTCAGGACAATAATAACAACACCTGCAAAACTTCCACCTTCCAGTGATGCATAGATGCTGACTGCTTCACACCCATCTCTTTTAAGGCCAACCTCTCCTTTGTTTAATCTATTTTGAGGTTTGGGGAGGTTTCGTTTTGTCAGTAATACTGCCCCTTCTTCCGCATCAATGTGGGTCTGAACTCCCCATGTTAGCCTGCGGCCAGGGGCACCCAAGTGAGCCCAGAGAGGGAGTTTGCTACCATGTGTCCAAAGGCACATCCAAGTGGGGAATGTGAATTTCTCACCAGCCAAGCAGGCTGGTGCTTCTGGGAAGTGAGGGAGAATTGGAATGGAAAGGACATAGGAAAAAAGCTGGACTTTGTTCAGAACCTGCGTGTTTCTGACTTTGGAGGAGCAGTAGAAGGAGGTGTCTCCGGAAAGAGAGGGAAGCACTGCCTCCCCAGACCTCCCCTCCCTGGCCCGGCATCCGACAGAGGCTGCCAGCCTGGGCTGGGATGAGGAAGCCTGCAGTCAGGCTCCCAAAGATCTGAGTGGGTCTCAGTTTCACAGTCAGCACATCCTGGATTGGACCAGCAGCACAAAGGCTGCCCCAAATAATCTCCTGGGCCAGTCCAGGAATGTGCCTAAATCCTAACAGAGCTGGACAATTTGGGCCACGTCAACGATTTTTCTACAGAAACAGTTCAAAGAACGAAGATTGCCTTGGTTATCAAGAGGAACCAGAAGAATGCAACAGAAAAGAAATACTTGGAACTAGGATTTGCTTCAAAATATTGAATGCTAGTATTTGTTTGACAGGCTTAAAACCAGGCCTTTTCAGTTTATCAAAAACCACAATGGACTCCCTGATTACTTCTCGCCACCTGCTAAGGCTCACCACGGAAAGCTTTGGTTTCCAGGCTTTAGCTGAGTTTCCAAGTTGTACAAGCTGCTATGTGCTGTACAACTTTGTTATTCAGAGGTCTGCATTTGTTTTTTTCTCAAAATAACATGAATTTAAGGCTAATGAAGTTTAATTTTCTGGCCAAACTTTAGTCCTAATACAGTAAGCTTTTGATAGTAGCTCTGCTCATTCTGACTGTACTCAAACCCAAAGCCTTGGGAATAAAAATATCAGAAGCTGGAGGCAGATACACAAATATGAAAGGAATATAAAATTGAAAATTTTTGGTGTGCTTTTTACTTTTTGAATCAAACTTTCTGAGATATAATTTGTATGCAGTAAATACACCTATTTTAAGTGTAGAACTTTGATGAATTTTGCCAAATGTATACACCTATGTAACAGCCAGCACAATAAAAACATGGCACACTTGAACTGAAAGTTTGTGCAGATTCCCTTTTTTGCTTCCTGGTATTCGTGTGTGCATGTGCATGGGTGTGTGTGAACACTCATGCCCAAAAATGAACTTTCACCCTAATGGAAGACTCTTGAGAATAATTCTATTTGAGATTTTTCATAGCAGTGCCATTTGTATAAGAAAATTTGTAGAACAATATGGCATTTTGTGCTTAAAATCTTATCAGATAATGTTGATTAGGAGGACAGTTTTTGCCACAAGTTTTTCTTTTTTCTTTTCCTAAGGTCTTTTCAGAGACAAAAGGGAGTGTTTTATAGACGATGGACAGCATGCCAGCCTTAATTTCCAGTTTCCGGGTATATAAATCATTCCAGAAGCCATAATTTTGCACAATGAAACATGCACCCATGACTGCAGAAAAGCATATTCGTAGTGTCTTTAATAAAATCCTCACTGGCTCTGTCTCTTCCGTTTCGTTTCCTCCCACCCCATCCTCCCAACCACAGCATTCTGAGGGGGCACCACAGTTGGGGTCCTCAGAGGCACCATGCGTTACCTAAAGGACTTGGAAATGGCCCCAAGCAATCGCTGGGTGCCTGCCCTGCTGACCGTGGGGTCTGAGAGCAGGCAGCCAGGGCTCTCCCTAGGGACCTTTATTAGCATTTGCATTCACAATCTGTGGTATTGTCTTGGGACCACATTTCAGCAAAGTTGAGTTATAATCCCTCAGAATCACTTTATCTACCCTCGTAATCTGGCCAGTCCTGCTCTGAAGGTAACTGATATCATGGACTGACATGCAGGGCAGCTGGCTGTGGAGACAGGTCAAGAAGGGAACCTGTTCTAAGGAAGATGCTGGCGAGGAGACGGAAACCGTACCCGGTCACCTGTGATTCAGGAGGAAGCCTAGGATCAAGGGACCCCTCATGCATGTTGTCCTCCAAAGCCTAGAAGAGCACCTGGCGTGTGCTGGGAGCTCAGTACATACTGATGGAATAAACGAACAGATGAAGCCACAAGCACTGGGATCCGTATTTCCAGGTTTTTTTTTTTTCCAGTCGTGGATCTAGTATAAAAGGTCTGGAGATATGTCAATCAGAGTTCAGAGGCGAGAGAACTTTTCTGTATTACTTGGCAAGTCAGTTGCAGAATAAAGATCTGAATTTAGAGCATTTGCTGCTCACAGGGAGATTGTTTTTTTTTTTGCGGTACGCGGGCCTCTCCCGTTGCGGAGCACAGGCTCCGGACGTGCAGGCTCAGCGGCTATGGCTCACAGGCCCAGCCGCTCCGCAGCATGTGGGATCCTCCCGGACCGGGGCACGAACTCGTGTCCCCTAAATCGGCAGGCGGATTCTCAACCACTGCGCCACCAGGGAAGCCCACAGGGAGATTTTAAAGGACATCTTGTCTACTAAGGCCAATTTAACAGAACTGTGGAATGTATTACTGCGATGAGAGCCCTTACAGGGATAGACTTGGTCTGTTGCCAGGTACTATCAGCTGGACATCCAAAATACAGCA